TTGTGGCTAGTATATCTTAATGATTAAAAACATGGACCAGTTTGCTGAATTACCTTGGGTTTCACTTTTGGCCTCAAGATGCCTGTTAACTCGATATAACTTAGTTTGAGATTATTTAAGCTATCTGAAATTTAATTTTTTCCTCTCTAAGATAGGGATAACAACACCTGAGAAGAATAGCAGTGTATTAAACAAAACTAGATATATAAAATGCTTAGCATATGCTAAGTTCAAAATTTAATAACTAATTATTATACAGTATCATCTCATTTGTGATTTCACTTTCCATGGTTTCAGTTACATGTATTCAACTGCAGTTCAAAAATATTAGAAAAATTGAGAGACAATTCATGAGTTTTACATTGTGCATTATTCTGAGTAGTATAATGAAATCTTGTATTTGTCCCCATGTGCTTCATTTTCTCTTTCTCATTGTATCCAGTTAGTTTGTACTAACTGCCCATTAATCACTTAGGATCTGTGCTATAAGATGAACTAGTATTATAGTGCTTATGTTTAAGTAGCTCTTACTTTATTTAATAGTGATCCTAATCTATGAAAGTAGTGATGTTGGCAATTCAGATTTGCCCAAACTAAGGTATAAAGTTCTCCTTTAAGGGAAAAGGTGAAAGTTCTGGATTTAATAAGAAATGGAAAAATATTATATGCTGAAGTTGCTAAGATTTATGGTAAAGACAAATCTATGTGTGAAATTTTAAAGAAGGAAAAAGAAATTTATGCTCGTTTACTGTAGTACCTTAAACTGCAAATGTTACAGCCATACTGCCTGATAAGTGCTTAGATGAGATCAAAAGGGCATTACATTGGAGTATTTATTTATAGGAAAAAATAGTTTATATAGGATTTAGTACTATCTGTGGTTCTTAAAATATATCCTCTGTGGATAATGGGAAAAACTCTTATATATTCAATATTTTCTCCTTTGCATTTTTTAGAGGTTCAAATTTGATATGTCCAAATATACTGCTACCTTATTCTATCATATTGTTTTAAAAAATACATTATTTACTTTTTCTTGGTGTTTTGTTTTTAGTTCATTTTGTGACTGTATGCCCATGTAAGTATAATTATGCTTATTCATAACTATTCCTATGACATTCTCAATTCTTTAATAGTAAATGCCATCTCAATTTATTTCCTCATGTAAGAAAAATCTCAAAGTTCATTAACATTGAAAAATCATTAGTAGTTGGGCACAGGAGAATTGCAAGTTCAAGGCCAGCCTCAGCAACTTAGCAAGGCTCTAAGCAACTTAGTGAGAGACCGTGTCTCTAATTAAAATATTAAAAGGGCTATTTATGTGGTTCAGTGGTTAAGCACCCACCCCTGGGTTCAATTCTTGGTACCAAAAAAAAAAAAA